AACAAATGGTAAACACCACAGCGTACACTATTGAGTTATGGATGCACTTGGGAGGTTTGCTAAGCACTCAAGAAGCTAGAGTCGCTCTCAGCTATCGCCTCGAGCGACTCTTACGCTTCTTTCGTGCTTAGCAACCTCCCGCGTGCATCCATAACTCAATAGTGTACGCTGTGGTGTTTACCATTTGTTAATTAACAAAACTTTCACAACCTCAACATGTTCGCATATCATACTGAGGTCCATTGCGCAAGTTTGGGTAACCTGTGCAATGAGCAGAGCGTTAGTTGTTTGTGACTTGTGCGTTCTGATTTTGCCTAAGCGGCCATGTTACTTAGTAACTTTCAAAATGGTATCGCCTGTAGCTGAATTTTATTTATTTTTTTCTTGGCATAATCCAAACGGTTAGCGTACTATTTGAAACCTCAAAGCGCTGTAAGAGGTAAATTGTAACATAAACTTAGCTTTAAAATGGCGGAGATTCTAATTATATGGTCTAAAGAGCATACTTCTCTTTCAAATAATTTCAAGAATTTCTCCTGTTTCCAAAACATGTTATTCTCACTGTTCGCGGTGAAATCACTATTTATATTTTTCAGACGTGAGGATTTAAATGTCTTCATGATAACCAAGTATATCGATATATACTATGTGCTGTAATGAAGATTCTTCAACTTAACAATATTATCGACGTTCGATTTTTCATTTTTTGTTACAGAAAATAATACTTTTGGAGAGAAGTTGACTTTTTTTTTTTTAAAAGTTGAAAGAAAAAACTTTCTGTGAGTTTCAGGTGTTTTAAAATTGTCTTTTATACAGTGCAGAGTACTTGATTAATATCTGTAATATAGCTAGACTATAACTTGTCGACAAGGATGTGAATCTTTCTTATCGTGTTTATCTTATCCCTTGCGCATCAAAGATAGCATCAGGACACGAAAGAGTTAGGTTTATATGCACATGTGGCCAAGCGCTCGCTTGTATCTCTTTTTCAGTATGTCTTTTTATATGTGGTAGTGCAAAACTTTGCACATACCTGCAAATCAGCTAATGTTTCGCTCGTAATTTGTTCAGGTCCAAATATGTTAGATAAGTATTGAGACAGCCTTCTTTTAAGTCCCAGGGCAGCTAAGTTTCTTAGTAGTTAAGACGATTGGTTTGTGTCCAAACAAATGAGGAGCAAGTATTTTGTACCACGTGAGAGGTGTTATTCAATTATACTGCATGATTTGCAGTATACCCCCTAAACTAGATATGCAATATGAATGGATAACACCTCTCATGTGGTACAAAATACTTGCCCCTCATTGGTTTGGACACAGACCACTCGTCTTAAATACTTTTCTTGAAATAACGGCTTTATTTATGGAACCGAAACAAAGGTTCTTCTTTAAGCGGCTAATAAATGTAACAAAATTCTCTTGGCCTTTCTCTAGAGAAACTTCACACTAGGAGAAAATAGTTGTTTTTGTAACACAGTTTTATGTCATCAGTATGTTACACGTTTCTCTTATGTAATACTATGTAGTTTCTATGTAGAACAAGTTTCTTTAATTTAACTTTCTTCCTTCAAAAAAGAAATCAGAGATTTATAACATAATTTGTGCGTGTGTTGCTTGGAAGGGATAGAACTAGGGAAAGTTCATTATTAATCGAGGGGGGGAGGGAGGATTTT